CGAAACTCTTTCGGCAACCGTAGGAAAGCTTCAATACTATAAGCAAACCATGAAGAAACGCACACCTAATTGCTTTCTCTCTTCCTCTCTCTTTCTGGATAGCAAAACTGAACTGTCGATGCACTGGAGTGAAAACTGAAAATCTGAAATTTTTTTCATATTGTTTTAGTCCAGAAACTTGTTCGGTCTTAGAAAAAATAGTCGAAAAAAAAGGTTGGTTATAAGTTTTAGTACCCTCAGGACCACCAATTCCGGGTGCAATAGCTGTAGCAGCATCGCCGGCCGCGGCTTTATTCGGCGAAGATGATTGGTCCTGGCACCGAAATCCAGCTGCAGCAATTCGGAGTGGCGGAACTAACAAGCAAACACCGGTCTGGAAATATTTTGTCTACAATAAAGCCGAAAATCTGAGCAGGTGCGCTTTTTAGTGGTACTTCCGTTGTGCACAAGAAACAAAAAAGACGAGAGTTTATAAGTACAAGTGACGAAGAGACTGCAAGTGAAGTTGTTTATATGAAACATTTAAGCTCAGGGAAGGTTACTTATCACTACCGCAGAAAAAAAGCATTCAGTCAGGTTAGGCGTTTCCAGAAAGCTTAGCCACTTCTCATCCAGCATCTGATCTGGGTCGGTTATCAATACAGTCCAACTTTTCGAGAGGATAAAGCGGAATTATTTCTTCAGCTTTTTTTTTACTTTCTTCTTTTGGATTGTCGATGTAATTAAAACGAAAGCGGCCACTTCTCATGACGATAATCCGCAGTCGTACTATCAATGTTTTGTCAGAAAAATTTCTGTGATCATATTTTATTAGCCTCACAAACGTTGCCAAATTTTGTGATTTTTAGCACTACCGTAGTTATCTTGCTACTTCAGAAAATTTTTGTTAATTCCTTTTGAGATGCGATCCTTCAAACGTAAAAACATGTAATACTGCGTTTTTAAAGTGATATTTTGAAGATGTATCGTTGGCAATTGCACGTATATGTTGAAAGGGCCGCATACCAGCACACTGGCTTGTCATCTCAAGAAACACCCCAATGAATATGTTGAATTCCAGAAACTAAAAGTGAGTTCGATCACTTTGAAGTATCAAAATTTCGATCACTGAGTTATTTTTTCATGTCTGAAATAACTTATAAATAACAACGTCATGTTGAAATTTCCCAAGTTCGAGGCTGACCATAAGAGTGGGACAAATTTTGCTTACAACTTTTGCTAAACTTTCAAGGGCATATTTTGCCTACAGCTCTTGCTAAATCTAGCTTTGTTTTTGTGCAAAATATCAATCCAAATCAAATACTAGAGCAATTTG